CCCTGAGAAGGGGCCATTCATTTTGAGGATATGAGGGTACAAGGAGAAGGACTTGTACATACAGTGATGACAAACATGACTTGTACTTAACCCTTAGAGTGCTGATCGCGACCACCGGTCGTGACGGCCCGAACTTCCGTTAAGTGCTGATCGCGACCGCCGGTCGCGATAGACATCACGATATACAAAAAGAACGAATCAAGTACTAATTTTTATACTGCTGGCTGGTAGGCTACGCAGAATTGATTTCGGTCGCCATTTTTCTTGTCACGGGTTTCGATTGAGGCGCAAGGAGTTTTTTTTTTACACTTTGAAGTCAAGTGACAGTGAAGTCTGAAAATTCGCGATGGCGACCTGCGACAAACATGAAAATACTATTGCATCAGATTCAGATGAAGATGTTCCGTGTATTTTCCTTGAATCGGAAGATGATTTCGAGGGTTTTGATGCTAGAGCTAACACTTTGTGGAATATAACGTAGGCCTACGAAGCATCCAGACTCTGTTCTAGATTTCTGGAGAACTAATGAATGGGCAGTTTTTATTTGACAGTCATTTCCAACACCACTACTACAACAATAACTTCACAAAATACTTTTTGCTTCACATATTCTTAAAGAACTTTCAATATTCTAAAACTTTTATTCTTACCTTTATTAGAAATTTTGACAAATAAAAAAGTTATTAGCCAAAAAAAAAGCGTATGTGCAAACAGCGTTTTTCCAAAATATATTCAGCACAGAGGGAAAATATAAGGGGAAAGAACTCTAAGTCAGCGCTCTAAGGGTTAACAATGATGACACAAAGGCTAAATCTATAACCACAGAAATGACCCATCTCTTGAAGTTTGTTCACACATCACTCTTGATCCAGGAATCCAGTGTGAACACTGCAATTTCTCTAAAATATTCAACAAAGTAGCCTAAAAACACGCAAAACAGTCCTGTACGTCACATTCAACGTAAGATTCTTGTGCGTCACCGAACGCTGACAGAAATGACTACTTTCGTTTTTCTCTTTCCCCCGTTGCTTCCGCTGTTCTGGGGAAGCGGGTAAGGGGAAGTCACTCGAGAAAACAATTATATCCGGGCACTGTTGATGACCTGTTCAAAACAAAAGTGGGCTGAAATTCGAACTTCCGGCACATCACAAGGTGACGACAATCAAGGCGAATGTTAAACAGCCGACCGAAATCGTAGATCTAGGAACCCGATGTTCCTTTCGCACATTGCGGCTTTTGAAGTATTGAATAAACGACGAAAAGCAAAAACATTTTACCAGCTACGGTGATTCTACTGAAAAATAATGGTGTTTTCTGAAACACCTAGTCCATGACGACATGACTGACGCACAAGTGATCCGAATTGTTCGTTTATTTGCAAACAAATAAACCGATTTCTTGAGCTAGTTAACCTTTCTCGATGACAAATAGCATAGGATCAAAGCACACGTAAAAAAAAACCCCACCAAAAAACACTAAATTTTGGACATTCTTGGAAGGTTGCATTGATGTGCTTGAAATGACAGTCCGGGAATCACTAAAAGACGAACATTTTTGGCACAAAATTTACAACAAGATTGTAAAGCTGAACATGGGGTCTGAAACTGCTAATGCAGGTTCTACATCCTTTTGACATGTGTGTATATAAGTTTTGGAGGAATAAATACTGATGCATCACATTTTTATGCACACTAATGTGAGATGTGTGTGTTTTTCCCCACGTTTTGGCAATGGCTCATGTAAATAGAAACCTGCCAGATTGCACATTTCCTGCTATCGGCCATTATTCCGCTATGCCTCCATGCATTCATTGTGAGTTGGTTGGCAGTACATTTTTTTACCTGCAGATTGATCAAAATCACTTTCCTCCTTTCTATCATTCCTTCATTCCGTCTGTCTATCTTCGGATTGTCGCCGCGGCTGGAAAATCTGTGCGTTAATCAAGTATATTTACTTTTGGTCTAATTGCTGTCAGAAAGTAACTTTTTTTTGCAAATTTATTATAATATATAGATCTATAAAAATTATCGATGCGAAGATTCTACGGCACGGGAACACGATAAAGGCAGCGATGAAAGAAATGTATACCAAAACTACTGAAATCAAGAATAATTCGAAGTGGTGTTCCGACGTTGTGACATGCGACATTCAGGCGTGAAAATTGAGGAAAATTAGGGTATATGTGTAACTGTATTGTAAAGGTAATACATATATCCAGGTTTGCATTCTATCAATGGTACAATGACAAATTAATTGAATTATAGCAATGGAAGGGGAACCTGCTTTTAACCATTGCCATCAATGGAAAGATATTTTGGTGAGAAAATCAAACAAGACAAAATCTTGGTGAAAAAAATAGGTAGTATGGGTTGTTGGCAATCTCTTCAAACAGGCTCCCAAATGCCATTTTCAACCCTCTAAAAGTACTAAATTTCAATTTCTTCGGGGGCTTCGCCACCTGAACCCCCACCGGGACGCTGTCCCTGGACCCTGCTGGGGGCCTCCTCACGGAAGAAGACAAAAATAGATGGTGGAAATACTTCATCTATATTTGGGCCAATCACATAGGTGTGCTAGGCGCTCGCTGTAGCTTCATGCCTTAACGAGAACCATCCTGGAAGTGGGAAGGGGCTTGGCACGATTTTCTACCTCTAGACTCCAAGGTTAAGGTGTGGTGCCAAGCCCCTTCGAGGTAGTCCCAAACTAGAAATAAGAATCATCATGCATGGCATTCAAGGAATCGCATCATGCTCAAATCTTAATTCCCTGGCCACAGTTGGAAATGATAATTTGAGATTTAATTAATTTTTTGTTGTTTGAGACAAAAGGACATTATATATCTACCCTGTAACGACCAACAAACACAAAGAAAGCCGGACCTAGCCCGGCTTATAGTCCCTAGCCCAACCCTGACCCTCCCTTGCCTTAACCAGTGGTTGCTTGTTACAGAATACCTCCCTTTAGGGCTATTTCTGGTAAGTTGCATTTCCATATATGGTCTTGAGATAAGACTACAGTCAGTTACTGCTGCTCTTCTATGTATATATATATATTTTTTAAAATTACTAACTGAACTTCGTTGTGACCCTTTTTACCTGAATCTACAAAATCTGAATAAAGCGTGCTAAACCAAAAAACTGGAAGGATTTCCATAACGTAAGATATATGAAATCCAGATTATAATCCTAACCCTAACCTTCAAGCTAAAACCCTAGCTTATATTCGGGGGGGGGGGGGAATGTATGATCTTAGGCAAACGGTATTTTACCTGAAGCATCAAGGGAAAAATCTATGTTACCTCATGATCAGGCCCACAATTGTTAAAATGATCTCCCCTTACTTTGAAATGAGCTGACTAGCAAAGAGTGGTTAATCTTGATGACCAATCACAGTCACACAACGACTTCCATTTTCACCTATCCAATCAGGTCTCAAGATCTAGGTCTCTCCCACTGCTCCTCTCCTTAACATGTGTTCAAATTTGTAGCTTTCTCATCTTTGACCAAGTTCCCTGCTCATGTCGCCAATTAAAATCCAGCCTGTCCAGCAAATTCAGGCGTAGACATAGAAAACTGACCGCCAGGGAAACGAAAGCAACAATGAGTGCACAGTTCGATGAGATTACTGTTTAATGCAGCCTTGCAGGCCCTACCCACCCTATGTGTGATCAATCAATATCAGTTCTGATGAAGGGCTGTTTGGGGAAAACTAAGGTGTCAATGAGTTTATACCTCGTTGTCATCCCTTCAGAGACAAACATTGTTCCCAGTCACCAACTTTTACAATGGAGGTGTGATCTCATTCACGAGAGGAGATAAACTGTGACGCAACAGGCAGTACAATTATCACAAATTTTTGCTGCTGGGTTGATCAGATGCACTCTCCCAGGTTTTTATTCTCTATAAATTACTGTCTGAAATGTGGGATCTTAGCTGAATTCTGAATGTACTGAAGTCTCTCAGAGTGAAATCTTAGAGGTGACTTTTGTGCAGTAAAAAAAAAAATGTTTTGTTAGAAGGAAGGTGCCTGACAAAAAGGCCCATTTATGTCACCAAAGTCAATATTGAGCTAAATGCCTTCAGAGGTGTAAAAGTTATCACTGGTCAAATATGTAGTGCTGTTCCACTAGAAAATTAAAATTGTAACTATTCCTAAGAAATATTCTGAAAGGATTTAGCTCAATTTTATTGTAAGTAGTATAAAAATAAATTCATTTAAGGGGTGTCTTGTGAAGAAATCTAAAGAAAAAAAATTGCTCAAATAGACATCTGTTTTTGAGTCACTATTATTTGACAATATGGTAAGTTAATTCAAAGCAAAAGGTATCAAGTTACGATATATAATGTGAAAATATTTAGTGTTATTCGCTCTACACCATGAATTGTCGAGTGATTGAATACAGTTGTCTACATTCTAATGATACCACTTGACTTGTGTATTTCAAGAGAAGAGACACATGAGAAAGTCAGGTCAGCATGGGCCTACATGCCTTCCTCATTTCATGTGAGAATAACAATAAAGTGAAATTAAGGGCCTTGGCTTAGTTCTAGGCCCCATCGTGCTTGTTTGAAGTAAAAAATTGATAAATCCAGATGTTTAGCCACTGTCTTGTTTGGAGTGTGAGAGAGCCTGTACCCCATTATTGAAGTTCTATATTTAATATCTCACCCATGTAGCCCACAGTACTCTGCTATTTAAAGTGCATTGACTTGTTGCAGTTGGAATGTAGCCTTTTGCAGAACCGTTTATAGACTGCAGAAGGATGTTAAACTTTGGACCAGTATTCACTGTTCTAAATGGGTAACTTTTTTGTCTAGCATTCTGTCACAGTTTCATGTCTCATCATTCCAGCACTTCCAAAATGTCATATATGAAGTGAACATGCTGAAAGTACATCCAGTAGATATATAGATTAAATATGCCTTTTTTTTACAGAGATTACATATCTATACTCAAATACAATTATAATTCTTTCACTTGTTCTTTTCTTTAAATTTCAGACGCTGTTGATGAAACAGAAATGCCTGACTCTGAGGATACTGACTCTGATTTAGATTTGACACAGTCACTGCATTGGCTCAATGAAGGAGAACAGCAATTGACTCTTCAGAAATGATCGTTAATTTTTATGACTGAGTTGTTAGTTGGGTTGACACACTTCATTCATCCTTATCAATTTCTCCCACATGTCCGGAATGCCCAATATCAAGTCTGTTCATGATCGTGTTGCCCAAATTTACTACACTTATGGGTTGTTCTGTGCTAGCCATCAGTATGCCACAATTGTCCTGGTTATAATCTCTGTCTTCATAACATGGTGAGTGGAAATTTCAAATCTTTGAATATTGTTTTTGGTTTGAGTTTGTTGCGTTTACTAAATGGAAAAACATATATTGCTTTCCTTTGCTGGATATTTTTTTAATTTGCACCGTTTTTTAAAAAAGTACTCTGTTTTTTTTTCTTCTTCTCGTTCATCTCTAAATGGACGTCCCCGCCCTTAGCGCAAAGGCTGCTGGTGGCAGCAGGTCCTCCTTAGAACTTTGTATCTCTATGCCTAGGGTTAAGCCAATGTTTCTTTCTGAGTGCCGAAGTACTCTTGGAAATTCTTTTGTTGTTTACACCTGTGATAAATATGGAGAATTTGACTAACATTTTCTACCATCAGAACCATGTAAATTGATTATATTGATTCCCTTTTTTTGAACATTTAAGTTAAATAGAAGAGTGCATTATTAATTTAGTGATTCCCAGAAACTGTTGATAACAAAATAAATGTTATAAAATGTGATACATCTCGGTGAAACCAGGATCTCGTCAATACAGGCAAATGGGTCATAATGGCATTTTCCCACCGGTCTGGCTATTTTTTACTGAATTTGTTTTTCTGCTCAACACCTTTCACAGCCATATAAAACATGTCTGTGTGGATTTGACTGAAAACATTGATTAAAGGCACAAAAATGAAAATTTTCAGTTTCCATGGACATTCAAGCTATGGAATTCCACAACTTTGGGGGCCATTTTCTCTGTAATTTTACCTCTGAAATCAAATGACCACCACCTCCTTCAATTGCCAATATCTCAACTTCTATTCAATTTAGATGGGTATTTGTTTTCGCCAAATGCAAGACAAGTAAACAAGCTTTAAGATGATACCAATAACTCCACATGCCCAAAAATTGAGGAGCGCCTCATTCCACCATGTTGTAATACAAGGTAAATGTTTAAATTACTTAATTCTCAGCTATCCCTTGAGCACCCTGCCTTTGTCGGGAAACACACCCATCCAACATCGGACTCCCAAAGTTGGCTACACAGTTCCCCCTCAGACATTTGCGCCATCCAAAGATGGCTCACAAGAGGACCTCAAGAGACCTCGATGGGTGAGATAGTGATGTTATCTTTCTTAGATGTATTATATATCTGTGTCATTTTTCAATTTTTACATATTGTTAAATACAAAAACCATGGTTGTATTTTTTTTCATGGAATGAAGGCCATATGAAATGTTCTCTCATTTCCTGCATGTTCAGGTGTTGCTGTCAACATTTATACCCATTTGCATTGTTTTTCACCTTATTTTTAGTCAATTACTTAAGTTTACAGAATATTACGAATGGATAGTGAATTGTTAATTTTTAAAAAGTCGCAATGAAATGGCTACCTAGGCTCTTGTATCCGAGGTACTGTAGTTTCAATATTGTATTATTACATATTGTATTATTACAATTATACAGACATCAAAGGATGAACCATGTATACCAATATAGCACAAAAGTACATATTGTCTGTTTTGATAGAACCTGATTATATTGGATAAATTATATTCTGATATAGTAATGACACAGATAATCATCCTTTCATTAATTCTAAAGTCTGCAGTTTCTAGCAAGTCTCTTGTTTTCAAGATGTGGATATGGCACACATCTTTTAACTGACCTGCGGTCTGTCCCTTTTAAAGGCTTTAATTTCTTTTGCCATTTTTAGTTTCAATGATTCTCTAATTTCATTGCAGAATGCTTCACAATATTTCATGGGATGAAATTCACTTTTGAGTAAAGAAACTGATTTTCTGTCTCTGGTGTTTCTCTCTGTCTGTCTTGCTTTTTTCTAGCACAAAATATTTTCGATCAATTACTTAAGTTTACTGAATGTTATGAATGGATTGTGTAATGTTAATTTTTTAATAAGTGACTGTGAAATTGCTACTTATGATCTTGTATTCGAGGTAATATAGTTTCAATATTGTATTATTACATTTATACAATTATACCGACATCAAAGGATGAAACGTGTAGACCAATATGGCACAAGTACATATTGTCTGTTATGAAAGAACTTGATTATATTTGACAAATTATATTCTGATATTGTAATAACACAGATATCATCATCCCTTCATTAATTTTAAATTCTGCAGTTTCTTATTCTAGCAAGTCTCTCGTTTTCAAGATATGAATATGGCAAACATCTTTTAATTGACCTGCAGTCTGTCTTTTTAAAATGCTTTAATTTCTTTCACCATTTTTTGTTTCAATGATTCTCTAATTTAATTGCAGAATGATTCACAATATTTCATGGGATGAAATTCACATTTGAGTAAAGAAACTGATTCTCTATCTCTGGTGTTTCTGTCTGTCGTCTTGCTGTTTTCCATCACTAAATGACTGTTATTATGTCGATGTGCTTCTCTTTACCCTAACGGAAATGCCAAGTTTTGTTAATTGTTTGTTCTGCCGATAGTGAGATGTAAGGTTGTTTATCAAGTTCCCATGTCTCTGCATTTTTTGGAAAATGGGAGATATTTTTATCAATTGTATGGACAACAGGCAAAGTAATAAGTCAAATCTTTACTTCCAGTTTGTGGGGGAGCCTGTGGCATACATCCAGCAAATTGTGGTGAAAGCTGCTGTCTCACCCTGGCCGGAAAGGGAGATGGTTGTCTCTGATGCCTTCAGAGCTCCACTTGCTACTGTGTTCAGCATTGAAGAAGAACTTAATAATCTGAAAGTTGGAAAAGGGTAACCATATCATACTTTTGTTCTTGACAAGATTAGCATTTTATTCGTACTCTGTTCTAATGGTCGTACCGTGTGTTTTTTCACTGAACAGTACTTTTTTGATAGGTTGCCATGTTTGCATATGGTGTAGGCCTATAAAGTATTTTACAAACTTTTGGGCATATATAGCATTTTTTATAATATTGTAGATTTACAGAACAGATGAAGCGCTGACAAATCTCAGGTTGGGGTTTCAATAAATGTAATTTTGAAAAGAATGTTTGTGCTCACTTATTTTTTTTCATGTGATGGATGCAATTACAGCTGAGTTTTTATTTGTCCCATTTTTCTGGAGAGTATTGAGATTCCATATGAAATACCTTTGTCTCTGGCATCGCAGGTACTTTATTCCTTTCTATATGTAATGTTATAATTTCTCTTCAGTAGAAAATCTAATAAACCTCAGCCATCTCCAGTCTGACCTTATGCAGTTGCAAGCGCAGTAAAACCCCATACAAAAGTAACTAAACCTCAGCTGTTGTTGTTCTTGTTCTCAGTCCATCAACTTGTCATTTTCACCCCTTAGTTCAGTACCATGTAGTAGTGTTTGCCGGTCTGTCTCTTAAAAAGTCTGGAATCCTTTTATGACAAGGCTAAAATTTGTTTTTAGCTTTCCTGAAATGGGCTGCTGGTGCTTTATCTCTTTTTGTGTAATTTTTAAAATAATCTTAAACAAATCTTTTTTTTTACAGGAGCTCTGAGAGGTCATTGGCAGATTTGTGTTACAGAGTGTCTGAACCAGTGAGTGCAAGGCACCTGCGTCACTTACTTCCAGAGTACTCTTGTTTCATTCTCTCTCCAGCAAATCTATGGAACCATGACTTTGACAGGTAAGCTATCTTGCCTTGTTATACCATATGGATGTGTTTTCTTTCCTCTTATGCTTTTTGTAACATAGAGAAATATGGAACAAAGTTTTAGTGAGCTGCATGAAAATATTTTCTGGGCTGCATGCGGTCCTCAGGCTGTAGTTTGCCCACCACTACTATAAAATGTGTGATATTGTTGGCTGCTGAACAACCAAAAATGACTTGGCAAGCAGAACATTTAATAGATTTTGTGTATTTATTTCAGGTTGTTTTGTTTTTGTTTTGTGTTTTTTGGGCAGCGCGATTGTCATCTAATTGGTACATTGGTGTGTAAATTTCTAAATTAAAAAAGTGTAGGGCCTAACAGTCATCGTGTTAAGAGAGTGGTGTTTAGATTGTTTTACATTTTGCTTCTTCGCGGTTAACGGGATTTAGGAGTTGTTGATGAAAGCCGTTATTTCTAATTTAATGATCCTTGTCTTGCACACAAATTTTTCCATCATGGCTCTTGATCACACGTTTCGATATCGTACTTTTGATAGATTTCGTAAAGATGGTGAACTCATCAGGACAATCTACAAACAGCATGGCAAAATTGAGAGCTCCCCGACCTCAAGAGGTGATTTTTTTTTTTACATGTCTTTCTTGCTGAATAAATATGTTTGTAGCTATATTACTTGTTGAACATTGCTCATCTTTGTGCTTTGACTCTGTGATATTTAATTGTACAGTAATACTGTTTCTCCATAGATTAAATTATGTCACCTATCTGTGTAGACTTTCTGAAACGAAAAGCCGTTTTTTTACAGTTAGGCTTGGATATGAAAAGAATGTTGACCTGAAAGACATTTAAAAAGTAAAGTATGCTGTCTTTTTGAGCATTTTTCAAATTGTTACATTATTCAGTGGGTCTTCAGGTACACAGGTGTTCTCTCTGATATTTGAAAAAGATTTGTTACTGAAGACATCAGTGTTATAGATTTTGCGTTGTGCTCTGAAAAGATTGAGATGAAACTGACTGCATATATGGGTTACAGTAAAAAGATTGGTGTCATTGAGGTGTGTAATAAATCCCTTCACTTTTATATATATAAATTTGAATTGTCTATTTCCATTCAGATAAAGCTGGAAGTAGTTGGAGATGGAAAGAGTTTACCTTTTGCATTCCCCTCTCCGCGGTTTTGATTAAATGTATGATCAATGGAAACTTATTTAAGTTTCCACGTGAAAAATGTGTTGGTTTTTTTTTTAGATTTGCTCTTTGGCGTCCCTTGGAAATTTTCTGGCATCACTCGCTACTACTTCCGCAACAGGCAAAGAGTCATCACGTATGCTGTGACAATCATTCTGAAGAAGTATGACCCAAAGTAAGTGCTTCTGAGATACGTACTAGAGCCTTGAGTTCATACTGCAGGATTTATTTGTTTATCAATGAAATTCAGATCTGAAGAGGTTGCAAGTTTTACTGAGCGTGGAAGTTGTTTTTCTAGACGTGTAAGACAATCTGAGTGACATGTCTTTCACTTTCACTGGTATCTTGGTATTGCAAAGAAAATTTAGAGAGGATCAATTTTTTTTCTTGTTTATGCGTTTCAAGAATAACTAGGAATCCTGTAGTTTTTAATAGATTGTTTGTGGACCCACAGTGGAGGATTTTGTTTTAAGGTAAATTTAGAATTATGAGCCAATTCAGCTGTTTTTATAAATTTACATGGTTTAAAATATGTCAATCTTTTCTTTTCAGCTTCCTTTCACAGTTGCTGCGAAAACTCGAGAGTCGCCATCCAGACACTGTGCAAAATGTAAACAACTCACAGATTGAGGACATGGTTCATGTACATTTCAAAGACAGCAACTACTTCGTGGAGTACACACCATTACTGGTCACCTACTTTGTGCTCTTGCTCTACCTCTACTTCTCTGTTCGTAAGTACAGCCCTGGCCCAGACCACCTTTAAGATATGTATTCATTTTGGGCTATTCCACTGTGATGTTTGATAAAGATTGTGCTAAAGTTTATTGACTTGCTTCTTACAGCTATACTCCTATTTGTTAGAGTGAAAACCTCTCACTTTAGCTTTTTTATCTTTTTGTTTTGTCACATTGTCAGCCTTCTTTATGTGTGTCTTTTCATCTGTTTTGAAGTAAATCTGAAATATTTGTAGACCCATCTCCAATCCTTCACAAAAGTTTGCAGCCCTCATATTTCTGAAAAATTAAATTGAAATTCCTTTGAATTGTCATTATTTTTTTCTGGTAGGTAGTCATGTCTTAAGTCAGAAGTTTGAAAGCATTTAAACATCTTATGGTGTAATATGGTGTATCTGGTAGTTGTGCTGCCATCTTGCTAATCAGGAACCTGTAAAGTGGACTTTCTGAATTTCAATGTGCGTGTACTGACATATTTGCATCTTGTTCGCAGGCAAAATTGACATGGTGAAGTCAAAGCTTGGGCTGGCAATCAGTGCTGTGGTGACAGTGGTGGCATCATTGATCATGTCTGTCAGTATTTGTACTTTGTTTGGTTTGACTCCAACTCTGAATGGAGGGTGAGTTTCATCAGTTCATTCTTTGTTATATTGATTTTCCAGGTCTTTCAGCAGTACTTTATATTTGAATACTTTTTTCTTCATTCCCCCGAAAATAATCAAGGCAAAATTTGTATTAGCAGTTTGTAATAATAAATCTTGACAGTGTGTAAAAATTAAGTTCCTGCTTCCATCTGTGTTTACTTGAATGAGTTGGAGACATAACTTTTATGTTGTTTTTGCTAGCAAAATCATCTGACCTTTTAATATGACGTTTTTATAATCCTTTGAATAGTTCAGGTAATATGCTGTAAGTTTTAGGTCCTTCAGCAGCTTTTCATCAGTTTCAAAAAGCAAAAATAGTTTATCATATGTGATGTATATATCCTTTCAGTGAGATCTTCCCTTACCTGGTGGTCATCATTGGTGTGGAGAATGTGTTGGTCATCACCAAGTCAGTTGTGTCCACTCCTGTGCATCTGGATGTCAAGATTAGAGTGGCTCAAGGTCTGGCTTTTGTTGCTATTTCAGCAAAAAAAAACCCATTGAAAGTTGTAGTATATTTTCGAGTTTGGCTCTTTTTTGCCCTGACGCTAACAGAGATTTTTCCTTTGATCTTAGTTTTACATGCTGTTGTATATCTTCTTCTTTTTGTAGTATACACAGACCTGCCACTCATCCCGATTTAGTTGGGATATTCCGATTTTTTGCCCCAAATCTCAATCCTCCCGATTTTCCCGATTTTCCCGATTTCGATCGCGTGTATCCCGATTTTTTGTCCCAGTCTGCTGTTGTGCTGGATCTTTCTAAAAACATACTCTGCCTTCTCCCCTTCTCCTTTATCGCGGGAAGCACCCGTCGAACTTTTTGTCAGATGGAACTCGGAGCACTATTTCCCAAAATATCGATGCCACATCTAGTAGTTGACTCGCCCTAAGTTGTGTGTGGTCTTTTCCCGCACTTAGAATTCTCCGATGATAGACTGGTAACTGTTACAATTTGAAACATTTAATAATCGATAATATTCGTAGTTCGGCTGTTACTTTCAAAACAAGCCTTGTCCGAGGTCTGGTAACTGCGCGTTCACATCAAACACTCAGACGAGCGACAGTCTTTCTAACCCTTACACAACTACATGTAACTGGGCTGTCAAGACTAACATACGGTCGTTGTCGTTGCTTTAGTCTAAACACATGTGGGATGAGAGGTTTGTTGGTACATTTGGTCGGTCGGCCGCCGTCGTTATTCTAGAAGTAGAACGACTGTCGCTCATCCGAGTGTTTTGTGTGAACGTGCAGTTAGTCGGACCCGTTAATAAAATTGTTTCAATCGCGCATTCGCGTCACGTGACATGACATAGCCGTGTGAGTTCTGCGTGTCGGGACCGTCCGTTGATGGGGTCGACCAAAGTTCATGTATTTTGGGACTTATTGGTATGGGGGGGGTATAGACACTTGGACTAGGAGTGCTTGACGCGATGCTTCAGGATTTACAAAAAATAATGATAACTTGCATGCATGCACACACACACACACACACACACACACACACACACACATACACATACATACACACGCAAGCAAACAAACAAAGACACACAGGGGGCATATAGGCCAAGGAATTTATGGACACCCCTGGAAAAATTTTAAGTCAACTTTGGCAGTCACCTTGGTGATTTGCTGTTGATCCCGATTTTTTTCACCAAATCCCGATGTTTTCTCCCTGACATCCTGATTTTGAGGTTTCTTAGAGTGGCAGGTCTGTATACAGTTAATTTGTTTGTTCAACAAGAATGCTTTACTTTTAATGACTACTCACATTGTTTTTACTTTTGATTCCTCTTTTTACTTTGTACGACATGCACAAAGTCAATGTCCATGTACTTTTCTTTGGATCATATGTTACAGAAACGTCAGACTTAATACTTTTAGATAGGTGTTGCCTTTTTGACTCTCCTTTTCAATGTAATTCCCTACTGTTGTTTGTTAGCATTGCTTCTGAAGACCTAAAAGAAGTTTTTGTAATTTTGTATCTTCCTTTTATAAAGCATTTTGTAAGGAAGGATGAAGTACTGAGCTCTAAATTCTGTCATGTACTCCACACAATTGCTTCTTGAGCTTAAAACGTTTAACCTCTATTCATTTTTATTTGTTTATTGGAGACACTTCATTTTGTTTTGAATTTTTCCTGTTTCAGGATTGAGTAGGGAAGGATGGTATATTACAAAGAATCTACTTACAGAGCTGGCCATTATGTTTGTGGGCTTCTTCACTTTTGTGCCAGCCATACAGGTAAGCTTCATGTCAGTTTTGTTAGTTTAGATGCCATTGGGTGGAAAGTTGAAGTTCGGATTAGATAACTTATATTATATTACTTTTTCTCCTATCAAAGCGTTGCTGATGCATTTTCACTAGCTTCTGGCGCTCAAATTTGTTGGTTTCGTCACTTTTGTGCAAGGTGTACAGGTTGTCAGACATAACTAGGGCTGAATATTTGTTTAGAAAAGCCTCTAGATATGGTGCAATGATAACTTACACCGATGAAAGTACCCCATGCTTGAAAGTGTTGCATGTTAATTGCTATGTAGGATAGTTGTATATGTTGCGACGTGGTGGAACCAGCTCATCAATTTTTGGAAATATAGAGTTATTAATATCATCTTTAAGCTTGTTCGTTTGTCTTGCATTTGGCAAAAAAAAAAATACCCATCCATCTTTAATTTAATTTGAAGTATTTGCCATTGGCGGAGGTGGGGTCCCCTGCTGTGAGAGATAAAATTAACGAGAAAATGACTGCCAAAGTGTGGTAATTTCCAAAACTTGAATGTGCTTGGAAGTTGGAACGTTACATTTTTTTTGGTGCCTTTAATCATTTTTCTGTAACATGCACACTGAAATGTGTATTTAAATGGACTTGAAAGGTGTTGAGCCAAAAAAAGGAAAATTCGAAAACAGTTTCCCAAAGCCCAGAACAATGCCAGTTTCTTTGATTTCATAGTTTTCACGAGCACCTGATTTCACCACGCTGGCCTGGAGTGTGTTTTCAACGTGTCCAAAACTGTCATTCTTGTTTAAGTTATGTATAGAAGATACGGAATTATGTTTGTTTTGTTGCTTGATCTATGAAAGGCCTTTGAAGCTGAGTTTCTTGTTACTTGCTGGTTCGCAGAAAATATTCTTGGTCCATTTGAGCAAAGCCAGTGTGTAAGTACTGTTATGGCAAAGAGAACTTGTTATAATGTTGTTCTTGATTGTATGAATTGTAATGTCCACAGTGCCCCTTACATGCCTAGCTGTTTTAAATGTCAGAGAAAAATTATGTTCTTTTAATTTATGGTCTTTTTATTTCAGGAATTTTGTGCCTTCGCCCTGGTGGGTGTGCTGTCAGATTTCTACTTACAGATGGCTTTTTTTGCCACAGTTTTGTCAGTGGATATTCGTCGTATGGAGGTATGGAACCAGAGTTTCTTCTTTTGCTCCTGTCTCTTTTTAATTTAGAGTCAACCACTTGTTCTCTTTTAAGAAGACTTTTGACTTTCAACATCGGCTACATTGGGCAACATCATGTTTCTGATACATTGTCTTTATTTATAAGCGTGCATTGGCTAGGAGAGAGATGATATGAGAAAGATGAATAATTTTCTGTTGCAACACACGAAGTAGTTTGCATGTTAAAAAGCGTTTGTGTATTTATTCTTGGAAGCCTTTCATAGACCCTTTTCATTTCAGATTTGTAGATGAGATTCTCATAATTCACACTGCAAAGTTTTACAAGTTGGGTCAAAGATTTATTCATCCCCGCCCCCAAAATTTGGAATTCCTTCCCAAAAGAGATGTGCATCATAACATCAGAGAGAGATTTTAAAAAAAAGTCTGGACACATTTGTTCAAGATGTGAGAATGTGTGTTGGTCTGGAAGTTGTGTGTGTATGTGTCTGTGTGTATATGTGTATGAGTGTGAGTGAATGTGCGCATGTTTGCGTGCGTGGGAGTGCGTTTATGCATACGTTTGTGTACGTGAGTGTGTGTGTGTTGTCAAATGGTCTCATAGTGTGCATTTTCTGTCTTTTGATTTATCAGTTGAGTGATAATTCTGCATTGCACAGCTCTTAAAGCCTTCCAGGGACTAGTGCTATATAGATTCCTATTATTATTATTACTATTACTAATATTGTTATTATTATTATTTGATTTGTCCCCTCATGTTCAGCTCTCAGATCTGCACAGACAGAGTGTGCAGCGTGCTGTGCAGGATGACACCTCCAGCCCGCCCATCAACATTCAACCTCTGGTGTTGTGTCCTTTTGTGCCACGTCAGGCAAGCCCTTCTCCCAGACTCCTCTCATCCACCCCTGTAGACCGTAGCGGTTCAGGATTTCCCTCGACCTCTGGACGTAGTCTGTCTGCACAGCGGACGCCATCACCATCTCCACAAAGGGAGGGTGACCAACAAGCATTTTTTGGGCATTCACATCAAAGTCAACAGGAACGACCCAGATATGAAATGCCTCGTAGAGTAAAGTTCTTCTACTTCTTGGCCAGGTTTCGCATTGTCCAGAAACTCATAATGGTAAAGGATTTAAGTTCTGTGTATTTTACTCTCAAGATTGTGAAAAAGTGAGAAAGAGGTTGTAAAAAGAGCTGCAGTTACAACATATAGCTGATTTTATATTATTTTCCATTTGCTTTCAATAGCTTGATAAACGTGTAGTTTGTAAAAAAGTATTTAGTTCTCTTTGACATGCGGAAGAAAGAATTGAAAAACAAAATTGTTAGAAAAGTTCACTTCTTGATTACCATTTGAATCTTTCAATAGCAACAGTTGCTGAAAAAATATTTAATTGTTTTACCTTTTGTCTGTTCCCAGGTGTGCACAGTGATCTGGATCATTCTCATCCTACACAAAACAGGTCTGGTTGACAAACTGACTGGAACAGATGAGCAAAGTTCACTTCCAAGACATGTTGTCTTCAGACAGGGGGCTGCATATTCAGGCGTCTCTGTAGATATGGGGAGGTATGTCTTCTTTTGGCCTTATTTAGAGTGTGATATACCTTTGAAGTAAAGATGTTAAGTTCAGCTTTCTTCGCCTGTCTTTACTTATGCAACTCATAATATGTCTTTTTTAAAAATATTAAGCCATTGCAGGGGTTTGTTGCAAAAAAATCCCCCTGAAAGTATTGGTTAGAGGTGTGGTGGTTCACGTAAGTTGGAATTTTGGTGGTAACCTCTTTTATGGCACACCAAAAGCAAGACGAGTACACGGGAATAGCAGTATGACAACTATGATCCCCAAAGAGTGAAACTGCGTCTGATTTCTAAAATTTTATCAAATGGCCACTTTTTCTTTGTGATATGCACTTTCCTTGTATTTATATGTTGTTTAATCTGAAAAGTCTTTCATATGTTTATTTGTTCTACGTCTCAACCAGTATGAGGCCTGAAGAGGAGGGCCACATGGGCTCGGCTCTACGTGAGGACGACTTAGCCACTGGTCCCGTAGAACACTCAAACCTGGAGATGTGGAAGCTGTTGTCTTTCAATCACTGGCCAGGTCTTTTCCATTACTACAACATCTCACTGTCTGGCAGGTAAGTTCCGTCTTTTCTAGTCTCGACACAGTGAAGTCTAGATACTGGGTAACATTTTTTCTTTTGCTTATAGATAGTGAATCAATGGGAAACATCTTTTTTATTTGCTTTTGAGTAGTGCTCTTGACTGATTTTTGAAGATTTTTGTCATATTTGTTTTGTATTTCTGCCATGAAGAATGTTTTTTATTTTGTAGTGGGAAGCGTAATGATAGCTGATATTGTACAGTGCCCTTGTTTCCCATCAGCTTTGCTCAAGGTGTTGCAGACCAATATGTGTTATATAAGTCTTCTTTAAAGTCGCCAAGGCTATGTTGTAGATTTATTTATGGAATGAATCATAATACTTTATAAAGGCAGCAATATTGATGACTTTTCCAGATACATCAGCATCTTGCCCAGCATTCACCTTTCACACCTGATACCACCTAGCACAGCCATTTCCATGCGACATCAGTCGGACCGAAAGACAGTCGACATGCAGCGGGAGCACCAGGAAACTGGCACTGGGCCCCTGCCTCACGACATGCTGCAATTCTCATCTCATGTTTCCTATCATGAAGACCCACACCCTGGTAAGTTGACAGAGAAGCCTGTGTTTCTGTTTAATACATTATCATGAAAGGAAGTGTTCTAGATAAAATCAATGGCTAACTTTGGTCTTGGAAATAATCCTTGGTATTAACTTAACAAGTAATGTGCACAGGCCACATAAACATCAGAGTCTTTCAGTATTGTATTCTTGTATTTTGTTGCTTTTCTGTCTGTGCAGTTATAAGTGCAGACTTCCATCTAATGTCAGTGTAAGCAGGGACCATTATTGGACAAGTGCACCTTTTGAGCTCAAGACCAAGAGATTTTTTGTGTTGATTCTGCTGTCATCAAAATTGGGACCTTGGTTTTTACCCCAGACACAAAAGGGAAATTGTGGCTTTAATCTAAAAATCATCTTTAAACTGAAAGTAATTTTTACAAGGAACTGAAGTGTCTAGAGCTATAATACCCAAACCATGTGAGTCCCTTTTTTTAAGCTTATAAATGTTAATAGGAAAATTTGGTTATCTCATGTGATAACACTGTCTTGAATAAGATATTCTGGGTTGTGTTTATTGTTCTCCCTCAGAATTCCACAGCCTCTTCATTTTGTTATAGTTAAATTGTTTTGTTAATGAAGAGATTTTAAGAAATATTACACAGGGTTGCCAAATGTTCTTTTATGGCTTGGCTTGGCTTGTTCTTTGGGCTGGCTTCTAAGGTCCCTGTGTGTTTTTTCAGTTTTTCCGATTGTCATAGAAAAAGTCTCCATGAATGATCAAGATTCGAAAGACACATAAGCACAAAGTTTGATAAACTGGAGCTTGAAAATGTGTAGAACAAACAATAGGTTACACTGGCCTACTTGTTGGAAAAAGGAAGTTTCTCTGAAATTTTCCCATTTTTTATACTTAAATTTTGTATATTTTCTTAACAGAATTATGATTTGCTTTTTGCTTTTCAGTAAATATAGGTTGATAGGTTGATTGAAAAAGAAGTAAATGGACCCCATAGACAATATTATTATCTTCTGTATCTATACAGATCTTTCAGACTCCTCCTCGGAGAATGACTCTCACGGCAAGCGCAGCCACCTGCCACCCCACAACTACCCCTTTTACCCCAAGTCCCAGCGAGAGTTTGTGATCACCATTGTCCTGTGTGTCCTGTCTGTGATTGTGATCACCTACTTCATGATGTACCTGTACCGCTGCATGTGCTCACGGAACTACTCTCGCTGGCGCCACTCCTGGACCAGGGCTAACAGGCGGCGGTCGCGCGGTTACATCAAACAGATCAAAGAGTCTGTCCCACTCGTGCTCTCCGGCCACTCACAGGTGCCCAGTTGTGTTTTGTTATAGCTGAAGAGCTTACACTTTTGTTTGAAATGAGTGCAATGATCTGGTATCTCAGAAAGCCTATCTTTTGTGTTACTGTAGCTAAAGAGATGACACTTTTTGTTTTTAATGAATGCAATAATCTGGTATCTCAGAAAGCCTATCTGTATGGTTGAATAATGTAAAAACTAGGTTGTATACACCATTTATAGTTGAGCATATTTCTCACTGTTTGGGAAAGGGTAATTAGTATTAGTTATAAAAGAAAATGGTAAGAAAAGTTTACGTTAATCTAAAGAATAAAAAAGAGGGTCTCAGATATTTAGTAACTTATTGATTGCCGAGTCTAAAATCTTGTTGTTCTCCTGAACGTGGTTAGGCTTCCGCAATTTGGACACATTGCCTTTTCCCATGTCTTGTTTCCAATAAAAAAAAATGTTGACTGTTTTTTAAAATCCTCAGAATATTGAATGTTTGCTCGGTGACAATGGTCTGATTGTCAGTTGTTGCTTAGGAGGACATCTGAAGATCTGGGATTCTAACTCGGGAGATTGTATTAACACTATCATAAGGAGGAGGTACGTACTGCTTTTTGTTTATGCAGAAGAAAGATCTTTAGATACATTTTATGATTTCCAGATTTTCATATGGGTGTACAATATGTCTCCACTAGCATTCCTTGACTACTTATCATATTCTGCCCTCCCCCATTGAACATTTCAAGTGCTTGACATGATATTTGCATATTGTATACCGTTTTTTTCACAATTGACTTGTACTCACATGTTATAAAGAATTTCGCAAAATAAAATCATTTGTGAAATTTTAGAAAGGTCACTACTGTATCGGAACACATGACTCGAGGTGACTCAGATCATGAATTTAAAATGCTCAAAATGGATAATGCGCAGAAAAAAAAATAAGTGTGTGAAAATAACCTGCTGTACAGTTTTTGCTTCTCTAGTGCAGTTCACAGTTAGTTTATTGCACTAGTTTGATATTTATTGATTAAACTTTGCCAACACCGAGAGGTTTAAGGTTCTCAACCCAAGATGAACTTCTTTCACCTCCATTCTGCAATGTTTTTGTTTCAGCTATATGCCCCATCGGGGATCAAGGTTTTCTATTTTTGAACGACATGGTTTTTATGTCGGATGTGGCATTAAACTTCCCAATTCAACATCTTTTTTTTTCAGCATTACCCCACCAGCACATCGGCGGCCTTGTGTAGGTCGCAACATTGAGGACAGCGATGCCGATCTGTATGCAGAGTATCATGGCAGTCGCAGCTCGTCAGAGAGCTCTCTGTTGGGAGATGCCTCAGGGGACGGTGTTCGTGTCAGGAAAGGTAACTCATTTACCCTTCACACAGGCTCCACACATGGTAGACGAAGCTCACGTCGACGGAAGAGCAGCCGTGAGTCGCAGGATGTTAAGCCAGATCTGTCGTCAACGATAAACACAGAGTTTTCATCCATGGATGGTCCCCTTGTTCAGAGCTCTCCGAATGGCTTTGATTTCCAGACATTATTTGAAGGTTTGATTTATTTTCTTGTGGCCTTTCTGCATGCGATTTCTTTTCTTCAGTTTTTTGCACTTTTCTGTATTACTCTAGTTTATCTGATTCTTCTTCGCTGCACTAAGTTTCAGTAGTTAAGTTTGATTTTTTAGTATAATTTGATTGGGGTAATGTCTGTGCTTTGATTTTCTGATCTTTTTAGTACTTTTCTTTTAATTTCATATTTCCATTCTTAGATTTTTACTGTATAATGCAGCTGTAATCTAAATTCATGAGGCATGTGGTACAACATTTTTACCTTAATTTCTTTTACGAAATCTGTGCTTTTTGTACACTTTTCTGTCATAGAACATTCGCCTTTTCATTTTTGATCATTATTTTCATTTCTTTTCACCTAAAATAATGATCATTTTTGCAATGATGGCTTTAACAAAGTAACTGGTCACTGTTTTCATGTCATCCTGTTAACACTATATGTGAGGCAGCGTGGTGGAATCAGGCTCTCGTCAATTTTTGGGCAGGTAGAGTTTTTGGTATCATCTTAAAGCTTGTTCAATTGTCTTTATTTTGGTGAAAAAAATATCCATTTATTTTGAATACAAGTCGAAAAATTTGCGAAAGAAGGAGGGGGAGGTCACCTATTTTCAGAGGTAAAATTAGTGAGAAAATGGCCGCCAAAGATGATTTATTTCCTTAGCTTAAGAGTCTGTGGTAACTGAATATTTACATTTTTAGTGCCTTTAATCAACGTTTTTCAGAAAATTTTCCACAGAGTTCAGTTCTTTAATAGGCATGAAAGGTGTTGAGCCAAAAAACAAAAATTTGATAAAAATTCATAAACCTGCGGAAAAATGCAAGTTTCTTCACTTTGAGTATTTTGATGAGAGCCTGATTCCACCACGCTGTCTCACATATAAGTTTCGGAGAAATGTATTGCTTTATTCGCAATTTTTTTTTTCCCATTATATTTTTCTTAATACAAATGAACTTGATTTTAATTAAATTTTTTTTTTTAAAGGGTGGGACATTCATTTGGTGTCATATTTTTTAGCAATGCCCACCGAGCGCATTTTGTTCTGCCAATTTTTGGCCCCCGCCGCGGGGGTGTTTCATGGGACGCACTAACGCAAAGGTTGTTGTCTTCAACTCGCTCTCACGCCGCTTCTCGTGAATGGATATGAATTAAACTTGACAGCCAATCAGAAAAGAGGTCAATCTCGTAGTATGCAGTTTGACAACATTGTACCCATCCTAGAAGCAGTCGAAAACGTTTGCGAAAGTGGTTGATGTGGTGCACTTTGAAAGTTTTTCTGAGCTGTGATTTGTCAAACTGACTGATACGTTGTACACCATTTTTCTTTATTCCCTTAAAATTTCATGCTTCTGTGTTTAGCGGTTTTGGTGTAATCTTTAAAAATGTGGGAGTAACTAAGGGAAAAAGCGACATTGCCATTTGCGCGTTCTGGGTGAACGGCCGGCGGCGTGGAAATTTCCACTGAGTGACGTCATCAGCCATCGGTCGCCTCGGGCCCTACAAACGAGGCCCCGCTTATGTGAAATGGAAAGGGGGGGGGAAGGATACTTGAAAACTAAACGGGGGCCTTGATAACTTGCGTTTTTGTTGCATTTTAGTCACAATACAATAGATGTAGTCATTTTTATTTGCTTGATTGCATGACAGAAGAATTGAAACAGAAAAGCAAACATCTTGAGAAGTGGTATGGCATTGTGTTTGCGTTATGAAAGCCTATTCCCCCCTCTTGGGAAAGCACACACTTGGACTCGTCCTGTGTGCTCTGTTTGGGAAAAGTGAGGCATTAAGATTGTTATTAAAGAGTATGGTACTTATTTAGTCCAGTCTGGGAAGATAGTCCCGTTTATACATTGTTATCGTTCACGCGTGCGTGCGTGAGTGCGCACGCGTGCATGTGTGTGCGCGCGTGAGAGAGAGAGAAGGGGGGGGGGGTGTAAATATGTTACATTTATTGTGTGAGTTGTAGCCTACACATGCGAAATACTCCCATGACTTGTAAACTATATTATCTGAACGCATCTTAATCTACCACGCAATAGGACACTGTCCAACAATGGATATACACAGAGACGATCTTATTTTCTATAACAAAGTATGCATGCTTTTACTAGTACAAAACTGGATTTATTAGTAGCTCTCTACTTACATTTTTGGGACAAATTGATCCAGAGCATTGCTTGGCAAGGAGGAACCTTTTATGTTGCCAAGTTTCATTCAAATATCATGACTTTGGGAGAACATATGACTGATAATCTTTGTAAATCTGTAAATAACGCCACTTTTTTACCTGTTAATGTCCTTACAACTCAAAAAGTATGACAGATATTAAAAATCTGACTGCATGACTAGATTCTGCATTAAAAAATGTACTAGACTGCCAAGTTTCATTTACATATTCCAAGAAATAGGCGAGCTATGACAAATATTGTCTCAAAACGCACCGAAAACGGCCAACATTTTTACCTATAAACGTCTTCATAACTCAAAAAATAGGATAGCTATGAAAAATCTGAAAGCAGAACTAGATTCTGCACTAGAAAATGTACTGGGTTGCCAAGTTTCTTTTAAATACTCAGAGAAATGAGCGAGTTATGACGAATATTGTCTCAAAACTCACCGAAGAACGTCCCATATTTTAGGGTTTTTTCATTATATAAAAGTGTACCAGAAATTAATTGATTAAAAAATCCGTAACTTTTTTGTTTATTGATGGATTTAAAAAATTCAAAAAGTTCCATGCTCTGTGAAGATAAAGCTACAAAATGCACCTATTTGCAAACATTTTCTGGCAAAAAAAGGATTTTCGTGGTCATTGCTATATTTTTTTGTTTTGTTCTTTTCATTGTGTACCAACATTTTCTTAAACTGCTATTATTTTTCCATTTTTTACCTATTATTCTCTTTGCTGACAGTTAGTTTTCTGCTTGTGTATAAGTCTGTCAAAGGATTTGTGAATGACTTATAATAGTTCTATACTACAGGGTTATTAAAAAGAATGAACCGGTTTTATGTCGTATTGCTTCATTTCTCAAAGATCATTATGGAAGGAATCAGTTACCATTTGAAAAAGGAGTGATCTAGTTTTTTAAATAAAGAATTTACCAATTTTATGATGCCTTGCTTCAGTTCTCACGCGTCATTATGGAATGAGTCAGTGACCATTTGGAATTTGAAAGAGGAGTTATCTAACATTTGAATAGCTGTCACAGGGGGTACTGTTGTCGTTTCATTCTTCCTTTGAAGGAAATAATATAGCCACAAGACAAACCTATCTCAATGTGCTCCAAAACTGGCTCTTCATATCACTGCAAGCCGATTTGCATGAGTTCATTTTTCAGCAAGATGGAGCATCTTATGGTTTAAGCTTTATTAAATGAAAAAGTGTTAGAAAGACCTTCCTCTCTGTGCTTGACCTGCTAGATCCCCAGACCTCACCGTACATGATTTTTTCTTGTGGAGATCACATAAAAGATCACGTTTGTGTTCCATCACTACTCACTAACCTTAATGATCTTAAATATCGAATAACAATAGTGATCAACTCAATAGACCATAATATGCTAATTCAGGTCTGGGATGAATTCTCTTATAGCACTGATGCTGTCCATGCTGCTTGTTTGTGGTGGCCACATTGAACACTTGTAAGACAGGAACTTAAAGTTGATTATGAGTACAATACTTGTGACTTTATTCTTTTTTAATCACCCTGTATAATTTGCGGGAAGTTTGTCTAATAGATATCACTACTTTTTTTTTTACCTTTGCATGCAAAGCTTGACAAAAATAAAACATTTTCTGTTATTTTCTCTTGTGTGATATAAAGTTTATGTTTTGCCTATAGATCTTTCTGATGCATACTATTTACTGATCAATTTTGCTTACATACATGGATCTTTTACTTTCATCAAATAACACGAATTCCTTGTGCATAAAATGTCAGCTTGCTGTTGACATCAATGACAATTGTTTTGTTTTTTTAAGCCATTAATGGAAGAATTTATTCTTTTGTCTCTCTGTATGTTTTTTGATTTTGTAATTCTGATGACGACAAGAGAATTTTAATGTTGATCATTAAAATAAGAAAACTGTGAGGTTCGAATTAAAATGTTGGAGAACAATTTTCTCAATACATCTAGCTATTAGGGCTTTTCTGGTACTTTAAATAACAATCTTTTTTTTTTCTTTTGTATTTTTTCTTTGCGTAGGGGTATATGAAGAGCATCGCAGGTACCTTCAAGAAGAGGGAAATGATTTACGGGTACACAGTTCAAATGATCTCACTTTGTTATCATCATATGATGAAAGGTCTCGAAGCTGGAGCTATGGTAAACACCTTGAAACTATTTATTCATCTTTTTGTTTGTGTGGCTTTCTTTTAAGCAAAATTGTATGTTTTGTATTTTTGAAGTACATGTAGCTGTTGATAATTTTTAGATGGTGGCTTATCTTTGAAACATTTATTTGTATACAAATGTTGAGTCATAGATTTTAATTGTGAGTCAAAATAATGAGGATTACAAGTATTTTATTAGAAAAATACCGGAAATAATTGTGTTTTCTACTTAAAGAGTAAATGTTTTCTATTTGTAAAAATTTCTTTGACTCAAAAGTTGTTGGTTTGGTGAATCCCCTTGTCTGCACACTTTTGGCTGTCTCCCTTTTAAAATATCAGCATTTACAAAAGTCATCATCTTCTCTTCTTGCAAGTTGTGTAGAGGGTGCAACTGGTCAGTACCAGTATATCATGTCTTTTATTTCTCTATCATCATGGGGTTTTTTTCTCTACTTTGAATAGTATGTCTTTATCACTTCAAGCAAAGTTCACCATTTTTCCAACTAGAGGAAAACGGATCTATCATTCTTTGCTTGTCTTCCAGGTGATCAGTCGTCCTTTGAGGCTGCGGTTCATGAGGAAGATCTGGAACAGTCGTCGCCAGTGTGGTGCCTGGCCTGTCTCCATGGTCTGGTGGTTACAGGCTGCGGTAACGGGCGGGTGGAGGTGTGGGAGGCGGAGACAGGCGAGCTGCGCTACTGCTATGCCATTAGTCAGGTGCCAGTCACTGGCCTATGTGTTGTCTCCAACAAGTGAGTGAATGGTTTTGTGATCGTTGGGGATTCTAGTTCTTGAGTCCTGTTTGTTTTCTCAAACATAATGTTATGTTAGAATTAAAAGGGTACTAAAGGATTTGACATGAATAACTTGTTCATTATTTACCCGGTGGTTAATACTGTTAAAATTTGGTTTCTGTTTGAAGTGATTTTGTTCCTACTTCTTAATTGAAAATTGTGAAGCTTATGCTTTGTTCATAGAACAAATGAGACAGATGAGCTTAATGTTATTTTTTTCAATCCAGCATCTTTTTTAATGTTTTATCTTTCTGCCTGAAAAAGTATGTGTCCTGGTACGTTATAGCTCTGAGGATGTAAGGCTGTTCTATTTAGGCTGTGGTCTGTATTTGCCCCAAGACTTTTGTGAGCAAGAGCGCCGTAAAACCCTCTACTATAAAAAAAAAAGTCAAACTTGGAACTTCTTTCGAGTCAAATACTATTTTACCGAGTTGTTACCTGTATATTACATACTGTGTATGTCAGAACCTCGCTAATGCTAAGACTATTGCCTCTTCACTGCCTATTAACCTGCTAATTTAATGTATAAATAAAAGGACTGTTCCCTGCTTGTGGTTATTGCTAAACAGGATGTTTTTTTTGTATGGCTGTTTCTATTAGTGTTTGTAAATGCAGGGGCACGGGGCAGACTGCTGCTTTGATTTTTATATGCCTTTCTCAATTGTAAACACCATTTTTTTTCTTTGGCACTATCAACGTTGAACTACCCTGAGTTCAGTTATACCAAAGTTTTTTGGTACATCTCTGAGTCTTTTTCTTTCTACGTTTTCTATGTCAGAATAATGCATATTACCATACAAGTAAAATATAATGTCAACATTATCTCTAGGATTGTGGCAGCTCGTATTGATGGAACATTGGATTTTCTAGAGATGGAGACGTTCCATAACCCAGTGGCAAACCCAGCACCAAGGAGCCCACAGCCTGGGCGGCCTGTCATGGGTGAGTGGTTTTGTCTGGACTGAAGATGTTGGTCTTACAGCTGAATGTGGTGAACGATATGTTCAGTTGGTGTTATGCTGGGCTGCAGTGTAAGTGACCCTGCTTAGGGTGGTCACAGAAGCATGCTTGAAGTATAATCTGCTGTGCTTCCACTCTTCCGTATTTTTACGGAAGTCCGTACTTTCTGACAGTTCCGTACTTGTTCCTCCATGCAGACTCCCTCTGTAAAAAACTGAAACAGCGTAGGACTACCAAAGTTCGGTATAAAAAAATTCGTACTGGCCTTCGTATCGTATTGTATAAGTTGCGGATATTTAAGGTAATTATCTTGGCAATAAATTAATGTTATAGCAGATTGCACATTTCCTGCAATCGACCATTATTCCGCTATGCCCCAGGCGTTCGTTGCGAATTGGTCGGCAGTACATTTTTACCTGCAGATTGATCAAAATCTGACGAACTTGTTGTGCCAATTTCCTCCTTTCTATCATTCACTCATTCCCTCTGTCTACCTTCGGATTGTTGCAGCGGTGGAAAAATCTGCGCATTGATCGAGTATATTGATTTGTGATCTTAGACAGAAATTTACTGTGAGAAAGAAACTTTGTTGCAAATTTGTCTAGATCCAGAGAAATTATCAATGCGAAGATTCTACGGCACGGGAACGCAATAAGGGCCGCGATGAAAGAAATTTATGCTAAAACTACTGAAATCAAGAAAAATTCGAAGTGGTGTTCCGAGGTTTTGACATGTGACATTCAGACATGAAAATTGAGGAAAATTAGGGTAAACGCTGGATAACTTTCTTCTTCTTCCTCGTTCTCGTAAACGCTGGGTAACTGTATTGGGAAGGTACATATCTGTTCATTATTCCCAGGTTTGTCTTCTGTCAATGGAGCGATGACAAATTAATTGAATTATAGTAGCAATGGAATGGGAACCTGCTTTTAAACATTGCCAGCTACGGAAAGATATGTAGGTGAAGAAATCCAACAAGACAAAATGTTGGTGAAAAAATAAGTGTTATAGATAGTAGGCAATTTCCTCAAACAGGCTCCCAAATCCTCTAAAAGCACTCAATTTCTAGATCTTCGGGGGCTTCACCCCCAGACCCCCGCAGAAGTTTCATTACTTTTCAACTTCAGCTTTTGGAAGCACTGAATTTGCCTAATGAGTTTACATGGTTCTTCGCCTGTGTGGAAATTGAGAAGATTTTTATCCAGAAGCCTCCATCTCATTAGTTGTTGAGTGCTGCCATTTAAGTTGTTTTGAATTATTCTATATACCTCCAATGATTGATTTTGTATTTCTCGAGTTTGTCTATCACATTGAATCCAGCTGCAATTCAATAACAAATGAAAATGAGTGCTATGTACTTAAACATTATGAATTGTGAGATGAGACCTTTGTATGTATTTGTGTAAAGATTTGGTGGATGATTCCTATTGATTTCACAACGGGGTGGAATCAGGTGCTAGTTAATTTTTGCTTGTGAAGTAACTGGTACCATCCTAAAGCATGTTCATTTGCCTAGCTTTTGATGAAAAATAATTCCCATCTCTCTTAAACAAAGTCGAAATATTTACTATTGAAGCAGGTGGGAGTCGCCTGGTTTCAGGCTTAAAATCAGTGAAAAAAAATGGCTGCCAAAGTTTGGTGACTTCCATAGCTTGAGATTCCTTGGAAACTGAAAATTTACATATTTTGTGCAACATTTTTCATTAAAATCCGCACAAAAATGTATTTTTATAATGAAATAATCTTTGTTGATCCAAAAGACAAAAATAATCAATAAAAATTTCGAAACTGGCAGAAAAATGCCGGTGTCTTTGATTCCATTATTTTGACAAGCGCCTGATTTCATCACGATGCCTCACCTTGTGTAATCTCGATTCATGGTATTTGTTGGAGAATAATTGTGCTTTGTTTTTTGCCTTATCAGGCTTGGCAGGTCTGTCCTGTCCTGTCCTTACGTGATAAAGCAGGAATTACAAATGCTGTCTTTTAAATAGTGTCACATTGTATAATTTGCGTGTCCCTTTAGGTCATCACCGCTCACGGAGCAGCAGCAGTGACGGCATCAAGATGTGGGACGAGGTGATACGCTGTTCTGGAGTGAACACCGTTCGAGCCCACCAACAGCCCATTAATGCGGTCCAGTGTGCTGGAGGCCGAATAGTGACCGCTAGTCAGGACCATACGCTTAAGGTATACCCCATACCTATTTTGTATTATTTCCCTGTGTCTGTTTAATAGACTCTTTTGTATTATTGGATAGTGCTTTTTTAGATATGAACAGTTTAAAGCGTCTGATTGTTGAGAAGAAAAGTGGTTGTCTTAGACAGGTGGGCATCTGGGACAGTGTTATTATAATGTGGGGAAAAAATCTCAAGAGGGGAAGTGGGAATTGGTCATTTGTGCATCTGATTGTCTTGACTGGACAGGTGGTTGTTAGAGCTGGTTCAACTGTATGTTTTTTTTATTCATTTACTGACACGAGAGTCTCATCTCGTACAAAGGGTTAACCTGAAGTTATCTCCCTGAGATTCTGGTTTTAGTCAGTCAGTTTGTTGATTTTAAGATTAATTGGTTCTGACCTTATGATTTAGTAGGCAGCTAATGCCATATATATAGAATTATTCATTTATTCCACCCACTTATTCCCCTCCCCCCAGACATGTCTAATTACTGGTGGTTTCTGCCAGATTACAATTTGGCTATAAGATATTCCCTACAATGTGTATGGAAATTTTGTAAAGGTTAAATCAAGTAGGGCTTCTAGGTTGTGTGAATGACATCTCAGTGGGATTTTTTCCCCTTTTTTTAATTTAAGATAGACAAAGAGGGCTCTAGTGGTCTAGAGGTATGGTGGTTGCTTCCCAATCTAAAGGTTACGGGATTAATTCCTGCTAGGGATTGTAAAATTTCTTCTCTTAAAAGTTCTTCTTTCTCATCTTTTCGTGTTCTCTAGTCCTGTTCTGTAATATGCTTCCATCGACACTTTCTCCCCCTCCCCCGACTCCTAGCCTCCTCTATGTTTTTCACTCTGTTACTCCTCTTTGTACTGCTACTCCTGGCTCCTTACTGCTGTCTATCATCCACACCCCTGTTCTTAGGGTAGGTAAGATCTAATACTTAGTCTTCTTGAATAAGTGCGAAAAATATCAATCACCTGCAGAGAAAGAAACAGACCACAATCTTCCACCTACGAACAGAACATATTCAGGCTCGTAAACAGAATAAAACCAGAACTTCCCCGAATGTGCCCTTTGTGTGACTATGCATATGAGACTGTGGATCATCACTTTTTTCACTGTACAGCCCTAAATGACATTAGAGCTACACTTCTCCCTCGGAGACCTAACATTGATAACACACTTTATGGAACATTACAGCAACTGCTGCAAACTTGCTCTTATCACTACATGGCATTAGAAGGGCAAGAGCCCAGTTGCTGCTGGATCAATAACGACAAAAACAACAAAGAACCCTTGATAGTCCTAAAATAGATAAGAGTAGGCTTCAACCGCCTCCCAGGCAAAATTCAAAATTAATTCCTACCAAAACTGAAAATACTCTAATTAATTTTTTTAAAATAGAGAGTACCTTCAATGTGGCTGCCTGAAGACAAGGGGCCCTATGAAGTGGGAAAAATGATAAGATACATAACGAAAAGTTGCACTTCAGGTTGAAGAACCGGCAGTCGGCCTCCCATGAGATCTAGCAGGGGAACACGAAGAAGAAGTAGAAGATAAACAGTGTGCTTGCTAGTTCATACTTACACTACTGTCCAGTTCTGATTACAATGAGCTTTTTAACTTTTTAGAGATTGTTGTAATCCTTTTTTTTTAAATAAAGAAATTTATGATTTAGCATAATTTTTGGACCATGAGTTTATCAGAAAAATAATCTATTGCGTTCCAGTACTAACATTGACTTGAGGCACTTATGGTGAAAAGGATGGACTCGGTACATCCTAAAAGGGGGAGATATTACCTCATGTAAATCACCTATATACACCAATATTTTTGTCTGACATACTCACATTACTGGCAAAAATGAGTGCTTTCTGCCCGCATATGAAGAAACTTCAGCTCTGTGAAGTTAAAAATGTTTGTGGGTAAACACAAGGTTCAGTGGCCAGTGAGTGGAAATGAGAATGAGCCGTCTCTAGCTCCTTTTGTGGAGTGATGAAGTGTTTTAATAGAAATTGTCCTTGTCTTTTTTTTCTTTTTCTCTTCTTTTTCTTTTTTGGTAAGTGTTTTACGGCGTTCGCAACTGCAAAAGGTCATATAAGTGTATGGGACACATTAAACAAGAAATTGTTTTCAGCTTTGGCAGAATTACTTACTTATGCACGTCTTTATTTTTTTTTTTTCTTTACCCTCCTCACGCATGCCTGACGTGTGAAGGTGTTCCGGTTGGATAGCTCCTTGTGCTTGTACACTTTGCATGGACATGAGGATAGTGTAACAGCTCTGTGTTTGGACCAGGTAAGTCCCATGAATGTCTTGTCTGAGTGTGCAGGAACATATTGTAACAAAGCAAATTGTGCTGCAAATCATTCTGTAGTCAAAATAAGCCTGGGTTTTTTGTCACCCTCTTAACTCAGTTTTATCGGAGGTGGATAGCTAATTAGAGATTCCACTTCTTTCATAAGCCTGCAGAGTTCAGAGAGGCATTAAATCTATAACATAGTGTATCATTCCTGCTTTTTGAAATTTAAGAAATAGAAAATAAGTTTCAGACCTTTTAAAGGAGATGTGTAAATAAAATTTTGCTATGAGACAAAAAGTGTGAACAAATAAAAAAAAACCCCGAAAAACAATGTCAACTTTTAATGTCTTTGTACATTGCTCTGCTGTTGTGTATCGTGGTAGGTGGCCCCTCTAGCTGCTGTCAGTGGCTCCTTTGATGGTACAGTGCGTATCTGGGACCTGCTGACCGGCACCTGTATCCACAAACTGTCTTGGCATTATGCAGCTGTGGTCACTCTCAGCACATCCCCACTATATATTGTCAGCGTCGGCCTGGATGACCGTATGTGTGTATGGGACAGAACAAAGAACACCCTACTTCATACTGTGGATCTGGTATGTTTTCACCTCAAGTATACTTTTTTTTTCCAGTACATTTATCCAAATAGGGTTCAGATTAGGAAAAAGTTGAAGAGATTTTTTTAAAAGTTTAACAACAGACCCATGATGTTACTCACTTCTGCCTATGTCTATTGTGTATTGTTTTTGTAGGGACACATTAACCCCTCAGATCAGTGATATTTATTGTGACTACATTGTTTCATTTGCCACAGTATTTGCTTTTTTCCTCTTTTTACGGAAGGGGGGGGAGATTGATTACAGTCTTGGAATTGGTAGTGATTTTGTACCATTTTCGTGGTGGTAGTTTTCAGTTATCTGTTCGGACAGACCATGTAGCAATGTTTCAAAGACATATTTGGAGTACATGGAGACCCAACATGCGAGATCCAAAGGCCAACTAGAATAGTAAAAGAGCACCATAATATTTATGGGGTGAGCCTGAAAGGGAAAGATAAGTAAATAACCCACTCCCTAAGAAGGAACAAGTTAGTCTAGTGCTGGTAGTAGATAGTCTGGTCAACGAGCTGTGCTGGAGACAAGCTCTTTTTCTAACCGTGAAAGCAAGGACTCATTTTTAATGTTCCTATAAATGAGAGTGAACTTGGTCTTGAAGAGGAACTTAGACGTTCACAAATAAATTTGTCAAAAGGAGGGACAGGGGTAATGGTAATGGATAGATGGAAAATTTGACGAATTCCCAAGTGTCCCATAATTCTCTCAACTGATAGGACATTTCAGGATTGTTTGTTCCCGTGTTTGTATGAGATTTTCATTGATCATTCACATTTTTTTTTTACCTGTGACTGATTTACTGAGGCTCCCATAGTTAATGATTTTTAACTTTTCATACACATTAAATGAAAACCTATTGAAACTATGGGTGTTCAGAGATAAACAATGGGAAAAACAAACTTATGATCTTTTGAGTTCTGCCAGAAGAAGTGGCTTATGCTTTCTGTTTTCATTTTTCTGTCTTTCAACGTTTATTTGGATAAAAAAGTTGTCTTTACTATTAAAGTTTGTTTTTTTTTTCTCACTTTTTTTAGGATCAGAATGGTGTGGGGAGCGCTGCCCTGCTGTCCAGGAATCTTATGGTCACGGGGGGACAGGTAGGTCTCTCTTACTTTGATAATACAGCTGTTTTTTTAATACTTGTGTTTTGATAGCTAAGCTGTTTTGATAATACAGCTTTTTAAAAATAATACAGCTATTTTTTGATAAAACAGGGTCAGGAGAAAGACATATGAAGAGTTGAAAAGCTGATTATACTTTTGACACAACAGATGTAAATAGACTCTGCTATATGTTCTCTCTATTTTTTCTTTTGTCTCTATTTTTTAGAGTATAGTTATAAGCTTTCTTGTGATACGTACAATTGCAGGTCTTGTTGGTCGTTTATTTGTCGACAGTTATTTATAATTTAAGCACATATTCCTAAGCCATATTCAGGAGCGAGCTTAGAAGAAATAATATAGTTTGTCTTGTTTTTATGTTTTCTTACTTTTGTTGATTAAATTTTAATGATTTTGCATATTTTTTACCTGTAACATAAATGTTTGGGCCCGTGATATTTTTTTTCTACTGCATCTTGTGTATCATTTCATGCTACAGTTGAGCATGGATATCTTGAATACATCAGGGCTTGACGAATGTGTTTGACACATCCATATGCTTAGTAAACCGTGATAACAAAAAATTAGAGAAATACTGAAAAAAATCAAATACTCAAAGTGTAATGGTTTGAAAATATACTACTGCCATCATGAAAAGTACCCAGTATCTATAAAAGGAAAAGAGGATTGGATTGTGTTTGCTCCTTGGTGCAAGGTGTCAAACCAAGAGAATGAAAGAGAGTGATTCTTATGAGACTTATGACAAAAAAAATTACTCTCACGTCAAATCACAATCATGACAATGTGACCAACACTGGTCAGAACACTCCACCCACCCCTCTTGTGCAATAACTCCAGGTTCATACCACATGTTCAAACAACGACACACTCGCAGGCACACACGCGCGCACACACACACACACACACACACTCACACACACACACACACACACACACATGAATACAATTCATTCACACACCATATGGCCCAATACAACGCCACACTGTCTGTTTCCGATCACACCCCGCCAATCAGCACCCACCCTCTCATGACTAGATTCAAGGAAGTTCTAATGCCTTATGCACACTATAAATAATGTGCTATGATGCGTCTCAATACCAGCAGTGTGTGTATCATTCTGAGCAGTGGTGAGCCTTGTTGGCTCAAGCAGCCTTTTACTCTCAATGATGATGGATGTGTTTGATTTCCATTGTCCACAAAGGGCACTTTAAAATTGAGACATTTGTAAGGGAAAATTTGGGTGATCTTCTCAAGATGAGCTGTTTGACACATCCGTGTGGGTGTTTAGGAAAACAGTGCTGCCAGTACAAAAAAATAATATAACAGTTCAGTCAGGGAATGACTTGTGTTTGAGCTGTCTGTGAAGTCAAGTTTTTAATGTTGTGCTCAGTTATATGAGTGTTACATATTATTAATATATTTTTCGTCTTCTTTTTCAGGGAAGCATATCGTTGTGGGACATTCCAAGGGGATCGTTGTTGAGGAAAGTTGTATTCTCTGACAGCGATCAGCGAGCATTTGTCAATCATGTTGTGTCTGTAGGGAACAGTGGTGTGGTCTGTGACCAAGGCTCTGACCTTAAAGTTGTCTATTTCCCAACAATTCTGGAGAAAGCAGAGTAGCTCTGCAGTCGCAAATTTATGTTGAGGGCATTTCAAAGTTCCCTACTTCCCTGCCTTGCTAAAGAATGCAGAGGAGCATAGTAATTAAACATGCTTTGTGGGTATCATTTAGTGAAGAAATGAAAAGAGATTCTCTCTTGTGTCCCTTGTATACTGTGGACTAGCAGGTATTGGCAAAGGGGGTTTGCTAAGGCTGTGCGGTCTTTGGGTATCGTCCTAAAGGGCTGAGTTATCCATACTGGGCGTTTGGTCCATGCCTGGAAAAACATTCATCTCGGATGTGGATTTCTGTCTATTACTTTTGTTAAAGGTAGAATTCAGAGCTCAGAACAAATTCATCCAATCATTAGATGATCTGTCTTCATGGGTTTGAGTGGTTGATTTTGTATGACTTTATGGGTGTATGTGAGAGCAAATATGATTGAATTCCTAGTGCAACACTTGTGAGTCCCATGTCATCATTTAGGTGTTTGAAATACTGTCATATCCTCTAGAGCCCTGGGCTGTTGAATCACTCTGTAATTGTCTGAGAACTGGGTGCTCTGGGAACTTTGATTAGCAGAATGTCCCATAGAACGTGCTGAATGATTAAGATTAAGATCAGTAGGGTGCAGCTTTTCTGTCCACTTGAAGTATTAGCCCAATTGAAATATTGTCATTAGTTAAAGAGGGTTTTTTTTTTTGCTTGTCATATGTAATAATTACTCCTCTGTAGGACTGTCTGAACTGTTTCAGTCCCCAATACCTTACCTGTTTGTTCTGGTGACTTCTTGTGGTTAGATTTGCCTGCTGGTCCTATGTTAAGCTGTCAAGGGTTGGGGCTGTTCTACTTCCTACATTGTGCAGTGTTGTCAACATACAGTAGCCCTTTTTGTTGAATTTTCTGGTACTGGAAAACTTTTAGTGCTCTGTGCTTTTTGTTTCTTGTGACGCAGTGAACATCCCCCTTTGTGGAAAATGTATCGACTTTTTATTTCCTGCAATTTTTTAAATTCTTAAGCTCCATTTAGATCTCAGTTTCCCACCCATTTGTATGTGACATTCTCTTGCTGTTCAAATACAGTATCAAGCGAGGAAGGTTGTGGAATTGTAATATCCAAAAAATTTGCCTACAGTTGTATGGGAGTTTTGTGGTGTGCAATGATAATATGCGAGTAAGGTAGCTCGTGTGAGTTGTATGCGTATATTGAGACAACATAGATCCCTGAGTTTCCGTCCGATATTTTGGGAACTGTAACAATTCCCTTTTCATAATCATATGTCCGAGAGGGAGATCTTTTTTAGCATTCCTATTTTCCGCTTTTTTTTTCTTTCTGGGGGTTTCTCTCCTCGCTCCAAGAAAAAAAAAGGTCTTGCAAACATTTTTTTGGTTTGTTGGTTTTAATTTGACTTCAAGTAGACTGTGTTCTTGTCTGGATATGAAACTGGTGGTTTGTGTTAACAAGACCTGCTGTTCCCTTATAATAAGTCTCTATGTAAGATAACTTCATAATGTCAGATGTTGTGTTGGTACAGTGAAGATCATATAAGTAAAAGCTTGTTTTAAAATTTGAGTCAAACATAAATTTGGAGGCCAATATTTTTGTCAGGAAAAGTCTGATTTCATCTTTTCTTTTCAGTATATTATTATGTCTTTTGCATTTAGGGGGAATGATAATGTTCTCTGGACACAAAGTGACATATTCTGGGGTTATATATCCAAAAACTACATTTTTAGAATATCAAATCTTCTCACGATATTCCTAGTATCATCAAAATATTGATCTGAATTTGTCTTTGCTTATATACAGATTCACCAGAAACTGATGCTGGTTCGTTATTTAGATTTTTCTTACAATACACAGGGCTTGTCCTTGGATTGAGCTTGATATAGTTCCTATATATTATTATGATTCGATAGGTTGAATAATTATTTGGGATGTCATAAAATAGAAGCCCAACCTCTTACGAGGGCTGTCCTAAAATTAGCAGAAAAATAATCAGATTGCACTTCCTATATATTTTGATAGTGTAAAAAGTTTTTAATAGTTGAAGGGAATTCCTGATTTAGGTGCTCTGTTAAAAAACACTAACTGAACGCAGCCATTTTACTACATCACCAAAACTATGGCAATCTCTATTAAAAAAACACAGAACTTGATCTTGCTTATGGTGAAAATAGTTGAAGCTGTCTACTATTGGTGCAATTATTTTTAAACAGGGGCATACAAGTATTTATAATGATCAAATTGGTGGTTGTCATTTGTCTGCCAGCACTGAAAAAATGCTGAACACATTGAAAAACTCATTCGTTATGAAAGGAGGCTTAAAATTTGTGACATTGCCGATGCTCTTGGTCTTTCTAAGTCAACAGTTCAAAGAAATGTCTTTGATTAGTGGTGTCAGCTCAGTGGGTTCCCAAACAGTTGATAGATGACCAGAAGGCACAATGCATCAATGTTTGCTCTTGCATTATGGGAATGATGCAGGAAAAATTAAATGCACTGGTTAACATTTTATATGAATCCTGTTGGTGTCTTCCAAGAACCCAATGAAACCTTTTTGAAACATGTCATAACAACAAAAGATGAGTTGTGGATCCATCACATCACTCCACTAACAAAAAAAGATTCCATGGCTTGGACACATCTTTTGCCACAACCTCCCAAAAAATTCCAAGTTCAACAATCTGCAAACAATGTAAATGGCTACAGTTGTATGAGATTCGAAAGTTCTTAATGAGATCTTGCCTCAAGGAGAAACCATCAATGCAGCCACACACTGATACCCTCAATAAGCTTGGAGAGCAGTGTGTGAAGAGAGACCAAGACGGTCAACGGAAGGCGTCATCTTGCAACATGGCAACGACATCTCCCCTCACTGCTAAGGTCAGCATAGTACTGTGGTTGGGAGTTTTTACCCCATCTACCACAGTCCTGACCTTGCCCTTCAGACTTCTTCTGTTTGGACCAGTGAAGCGATATCTAACTGGGAAGAAATTCAAACAGGATGCAAACCTTTTAGAACATTTCAGAGATTGGTTTCCATTGCTTGACACAAAATTCTACAGGGACGGAGTGCAATTACTCATGCGATGATGTGGGGAAAATGTTTGACTCTTCATGAGGACTACCTTGAGAAATATAGTAGGTGTTTCACCAACTAACTTTGAAATCATGACAAAACTTTTCATTTCATAGCCATTTTCTTGTTAATTCCTTGTTAATTCAGGGACAGCCCTTGTACATCACCAAACAGTTTGGGGAGTTAAAACTCATGCCTTACCTAAACATGAATTATGGCAACAGTTCTGTTTCCACCCACCACTGGCTGATTCTCTTCATTATCATTCCCTGTATTCCTGTTCCATCACTCCCCCCCTATATCCATATCCCTTCCTCTTGTTGAACTTTCCCTCGTGTTTCCTACTGAGTCTCCCCTGTTTGTTACTCTCAGAGCTGTATCAAAATATTTTACCCTTTGTGATATGTGCCATGTATGTCGATGTATAATTGGTGATCTGTGTGAGTTCATGCTGCTCATAATTAAAAGGTTTGTTTGCTCGGCTGAATTTGAAGACTGATCAAAGCACTTCTTTTGTTGTTTATCACCTTTCCCTCCTATTCTTTTCCTTTCATTTAATGATGGGGAAAGATCTTACCCACAGTTTGGGCCATTTGAAAAGCATGCTTTTTATGTGTATCTGATATGATATGTTGAATGCAATTTACTTTGTGTGTGTGTGTGTGTATTGGCGCGTGTGTGTGTGTGTGTTGGTGTATGGGTGGGAGGGTGCATGCGTGCAAGCTACTCACTTGATAAGGAAGGTTCAGAGTTAATCCATTCTTTCCCAACTTCATTGTTATAGTTTTAAAAACAGCCTAAAGTTTGTGCCGTAAATGTGTTCCAGAAGATAGTGTGTTTAATAAATGAATGTTCGTGAAAGCAAAATCATTTTTTCTGTTAGCACCTAATTCATAATTACGATAGAAGTACAGTCTAGCAGGTGCATTGTGAACTGATCTTTAGGTCCCATATTTTTTCTTAAACATATATTGTCTTTTTTATTTAAAACATGTACCTTGCTAGTTATGTACATAATGCAAAGATTTGGGGGCTCAGCCAGTTTCGCTATGTGTGTGCGAGACTGTATTTTTGCTTTACAGCTGCATCTGATATTTTAATATATGCTTATGGCTGGCTTAATGTAACGTGCATTACACCTAAAAGTAAAAGTTTGTCATCAATGTCTTACAATGACCACTGCATTTGTAGAGGAGAGTTTGTATTAAAGAAATGAGCATTAAGATGATTTTTGGCTTCTACCATGGGCAATGAGACCAGGTCTGGTGGAAGAGGAGAATTTGCCACATTTTGAGCATTTATAAGCTTCATTTCCGTTTGTGGATGTGTTCAGCTTGCAAAGTCTCTTGGCTTCAGCATTTCTGATTTGTGAAATCTCGTATGATGCTGCCCTCTGTGATTGCTGCTTCCCAACTGGGTCCCGTGAACGTTGTAGTCCTTCGGGGGACATTTTCATGGTGTCTTTGTAGCACTTTATGTGTGCGCCAACTATACACGTCCGTGAGGACAGCTTAAAGTAGAATATTGCCATTGGGATTCTGAAATCAGAGGAGCATTCTTAGGACATGGGCAGCTAAGCCAAGTTGTGTCCTTTTGAGCTAAGAGATGCATTACATGTTCACACATTTTCACTAGGTTTTGATTTCTGTAGTGTTTGTTTTGTCTTGAACTGCATTAACATTTTTGTGCTGTTGTTGTTGGGAAAGGGGGGGGGGGAGTGATTGGGGTATGAATTTAGCATCTATTAGCTCCTAAGTTGTCCCATAAATATGGACCTTGCTAGGTGATGCAAGTCTGAATATTAATTTTGCTTACTGTATATCATCTAGCATTTGAAGACATTTGCTATCTACTCATCTATTAATTCTTTTACCTTTGAGTCCTCCCACTTCTGAGCCTATGAGACCTGTGCAGCTGGGCTCCGGTGTGTCCACTGCTAAATATACACTAGCTACATGCTGAGGTGCCCCTTTGAGTATTGAGAGCCACACTCTAGTTTAAGCTCAGGTCCTTTAGGTAAATGACTGTGGTCCTGATATATATTTCAGCATATTCTGTTTGTGCGTATTGTATGGGCTGCGTCATATTTCCTTTTCCTCTTCCTTTTCCCCATTTTTTTTCTTATCCTTATCTTTAAACTCCCTGAGTTTCCTAATACAAGCAGGAAATGTATATTCAGTTGTTCTTGGCTTTTGATATTTGAGCTGAGTTGTGTGTTTTGGTTCTTAAGAGAAGTGGTTGAGGAGCTCTTTGCTTACCTCATGTAGGGAGAGCGTAGACAGCTACTTGATTTTGTCGTTTACTTTTGTATGACATATGTAGCAGAAGTTGATCCATGACTTTCAAGTACAGAGTTTTAACACAATAGACTTTTTGTGTTGTGACGTGGCAATGTTGAGTGAAGCTGTGGTAATGATGTCTGTTGTCAAATGATATTGCATGGAGGTACGGAGGGAGGGGTACGGGGAATGTTGGTTTGTTGTTGAGTGGGACCAAGGGCAGCAATGTTTGTGAAGGTTAATTTATTTCGTTGATTTTCTGTTAATAAATTTTCGTTTTTTCAGTCTATTAAAATGTTGCAACACATTTATTTTTGTGATGTGGGTGGTTGGCGGCTGCTCTGGTGTGGTTTGCTCCTTTCTTATCAAATACTTTTCGCCCTCATCTCTCCTCCTTCTTTTCTTTGTATTTGCCATTGCTTGTAACACGTCTGATCTTCAGCATTTATATGGCGCATGTGTTGCTAGTGTGGTAAAAGTCTTCTTAATCTTACTAAATCTAAATTTATGTGATGGTTTCTCTTTGTTACATGATATTAATGATAATGAAAGAGGTGCAGTTTAGAGTTTTGAGTTGTGACATGTTGAGTTCTACCTGTTGAGTCATGAATGGTAGGTGTTGAATGATGTCCGTATGTCCAGTGGTTCCCAACGATTTCCTTTGTTATTACACAGAGCAAGAGAAAACAATGAATTCTTAAAAGTAAAAGAAGGTAATTAGTCATACTGGGATGGGAGTCAGTTCTGAGACTAGACATAAATGTACTAGAACTACAGACAAACTGACCTGAGTAAATGGGCTAGAAAGAATTGCGATGTGTGCAGTTGAAACAAACCTATTTTGATTCAGAAAATTGTTGGACATAATTTTTGTTTGACATCTCCATGCTCCACAAAAGTTTACAAAATTTAAGGTTGAACATTTCAGAACAGGGGAGGTTGTAAAAAAATGTTGACAAGAGAACAAGTTAAGTCAAGTACGGACTACTAGTACAATGTAGCATCAGAAAGGAAATGATTTATTTGAGAAAAATTATGTTAGGCACGACAGTTTTTCATCCAATGTCAGGTGAAGTAAGTTGTGATAAACAAGAACGTGTGCGTCAGAGCGCTTCTGGGGAGGGGGCGAGGGAGGGGGGGGGTTGGTGGTCGTATGTCAAAGGAACCATATCTTATTATTTTATTTCCTTTTCATAGAGCAAGGTTCAGATGACACTGACCGTGATAAACGTCTGTGTCTGTGCCTGCGTCTCGTCTGTGTGTGTGTTTGTGTGTGTGTGTGTGTGTGTGTGTGTGTGTCTGCGTGTGTATGTATGAGAATAAACGGAATGAGTTTGCTTTTTGTTATATTATGCTCATAATTTATTCTTCATTGATTTCTTCCCCTATGGCATACTTCTTGTCAAAATGTGCATTACTTTTGCTTGTAGATTTTTCTCCGCATATTTTGTATCAGATCCCGCCAGTTTTGTAATAAATGTGCTTTGAAGAGCAAAGAAAGTTTCTGGTTTGACTTGTTACATTTATTTTCAGTCTGATGAATGAAATGGATCTTGGAAAATTGATGGCCATCGTACCTGAACAGAGAGTGAAAAAAAAGATAGAGGCTCCGTTTTAATAGTGAGTTAGACCATACTGGAGACCCCCCCCCCCCTTTTTTTTTTCTCTCCCCCTCTCTCTCTCTCTCTCTCTCTCTCTCTCTCTCTCTCTCTCTCTCTCTCTCTCTCTCTCTCTCTCTCTCTCTCTCTCTCTCTCTCTCTCTATCTATCTATTGGCGACTGTGATGTTGCAGTTACGCGCTTCACTGTCACACGCAGGACTTCCGAGTTCGATTTCTCTGAACGGAGAGAATTTTTATCGAGTATCTTGGTCTTTCTGTTGGGATGTTTTTATCCCGCTCTGCCCGGGTTGGCCTTGATAGACAGGGTCGAAAGCCCGCTCCCTATAAGATCTAAAATGTCTCGATTTGGGTGTAAAATAAAAATCTACTTAAAAAATAATACTCTCTCTGCTTTTGTCTGTCTGTCGGTCTGTCTGTCTGATTTCTCTCTCTCTCTCACTCACTCTCTCTCTCTCTCTCTCTCTCTCTCTCTCTCTCTCTCTCTCTCTCTCTCTCTCTCTCTCTCTCTCTCTCTCTGGGTAAACTTTTTAAAACAAAGTTTGTGGCGGTTTTTAATTAACTCTACCCTCGCTGATCTCATTTTCCCTGGGGTGGGGGTGGGGAGGGTCTTTCTCTATACGAACTGTTCACGCTCTGTGCTGGTTTTGAATACAAAGGATATTATAATTGGGACCTGAAGTCCTGAAGATCTAATCTGTTCGCATTTGTGTGTTCCCTACAACGTGCGTGCTCCACTGTACTATTTGATTTTTTTACACGTTACTACTCAGTTGAAGAACAAAAGACAAATGCAGAAGGTGAAAGTGAAAGTAATAAGTCACAATTGATTATTATAAAGACACTGAATATAAAAATAACGGGACATTCTCACTGAATCTCACTCAATAAGGGACGATTGGCGGCTTCCCAGTGTCCCTTCTTGAATATTCTTACCCACTCACTTCCCGTGTGCAGCAGATAGTCGGAGAGTGGCTTTGGTTTGCCGGACAGGGTCTTAACATTATTGAAAGCGTGTTGTGTTGCGTGAAGTTGACAACAATAGACTTTTGAGTAAAAAGGAAAGGAGGACTGTCAGCTGATGATGAAACAGCTTAAAATTCATTCGTGTCAACCAGATCTGCTGAATCTGTTATCGTGTTAAAGGAAGTTGCAATGAAGAAGGTGAAGAGGAGAAAAACACCCCGGGGATTTGAAATCCTTTCTTGTTTACAAGAATAATATTGTTCTAAACGAGTTGGTAGTCTTACTGCTACTATATAAATGTAACTCGTAAGGTAAAATACAGGCTGTTTTGTCGGTGTGCCCATCAAATGTTTTAAGACCCCATTAAAAAAAAAATTGCAGCCCCTTAATCTGCAGTATCCGGTGCATATTATGCTCAAGGCATACAGTAGTCTTTGTTATGTAAATTAAGATAAAAATAACTTTCTTGCTGGTCTCTGTTGCATCCAACTGAAACACTTACTGTACCTTCAAACTGTATTGACGGGAGTCCTAGGCATACCTCTCTGGCTCTCTGGTTTCTTCTTGCCGTTGTTGTTGTTGCTGTTATTGTTGTTGCTGTGTGAGTGTAATTTTAAAAAAAACCTCGAAAATGATAAGTCATGTATAGGTTCCATGCTGTAATATCAATTTTCATTTCCTTGAGCAGACACTGCTAAATATAGGACGCCAGATGGCTAGCAGGCTTTATGACATAGTCAACTATTATTTATTCTATTGTATTAATGCTGTTTTCCTCATCTATTCCTTGTGAAATCTGGCTGTGCTCAGTAAATGACACACAGAAACTCAACCACGGCTGCCACCACTACCAACAACAGCATTAACATATACAAAGAAAGATAAATATACACCAAGCAATAGAACCCACTTGTCATCTTTTATTTTATTGATCAAAGTAATTTAATCTTTTTAAATAGTATCTAACAAAAACACCTGTCATCGTAACTGCTATTATTTCTAAAACAGGGAGTGACCATTTCTCACTCGATTCAACAAACGGCAGTAATTCTGCTCTATATTTCTGTCGATATAAGTTTGGTAGTCTTTTAATTTTCGTTTTCGCGTGTGCTTGAAGGATGCTGTAGATATTACATTTTTAATACTATTCTTTACTTGGTCTGCTTCCCGGAGAAAATTGTTTCATGATGCCCATACGTTTTAAACGAAATCTTACCTCCTCATTTTCTCTCGCACTAATGCATACTTATGTTGTGTTTGGCATGTACTTTCTGTCTGTTTCGGATTTCATTGAGTGACAGATTCTTTTTTTTAACTCAAGGACTTAGACATTGGCAAAGGGGATTGAGTGTCAATTTGATACTGGTTCACGAGTCCGATTATTCCTTCACTTTCGTCTTTCAAGAACTTGTATTTCAATCTGTTCTTTGCACTGTTTCGGCCAGTCACTGTGCCTGTGTTTTGATTTGTTTTAAACCTCAAGCAAACGAAGTAAGCGATTCATCATCATCATTACCCTTCTCACACTGGATCAGGGTATAGGCCACGAACAAACACTTTCCACCTTTCCCTATCCTGTGTTAGCCGCTTGATTTTATTCCATGTCTTCCCACTTTTCTGTACATCAATTTATGTGCTCTTTTCCAGGTTCCACGTGGTCTTCCCCCAGGCCTTTTACCCTGTGGGTTCCAATCCAACATGCTCCTTGTTATGCAATAAGTGATTGCCAAGATACAAAAAGTTACGTTTAACTTGCTTTTTTGTGGCTTAGATTAGAACCTGCCCTTTCTTTTGCTACACACAACAGCAACAGCACCTCTCGTGTTTTGATTAGGTTCTTCGCTATTCCTGAAAAAAACAACTTACGTTTGATTCCCAATTGGGGGAATTTTATCGAGTTTCTCCATCTTTCAGTTGGGACGCTTCATCCCACTCATTTTTAAAAAAGTGTTTTACGGCGCTCTCAACTGCATTAGGTCATATAGGCGCGCTGGATACATTAAAAATTTTCAGCTGGTAGGAAATTTTGAATTTTGCCCGGGTGGCGGCCGGAGCCTACTCATATCGACTTTTTACCACCAAGGGATCTTTAACGTGCGCAACTTGCACACGGGACCTCCGAGATTTTTTGCTCTTATCCGAGAAGGCTAGGTGTTAAATCTTACTTACATAAGATCAGGGATGTGGCTGAAAGACATCGGTAAGAAGGTGCCAAGGAGTTCGTAGAAAGGCTGCAGAAAGAGTCAGGAGCTCAGGGTAAGGGGCAAAGGATGTGGGGGATGAGGGCAAAAAGCGGAGACGAAAGCAGACGACAGGACGTTGTTAGAGAGCAGGAAAAATGTGAGAGGAGAACATTTTAGAGAGGATATTGTCCGACGTTATCCAGATTCGAACCCAGGACCTACTGAATGAGAGGCGAACACTTAACCTCTAGACCACGATAGTCCCCTATCCCATTCAGCTTGTGTCGAAGTAACCTACCTCCTAAACGATAGTATCTGTATCGTTTGAGGTGTAACAAATGTATACAGTCACACTGCAGCAGTCATTAGGACAGGTCTGTGCAGCAGTCTGCTATGGATGTACGTGGTGCTGTTCTCTCTTACAACTTCCCATCAACGTTCCTATTGTTCTTATCTGTCGAAGGTTCACCATAATAATAGTATGGCGTCGACTCGCTGCAAACCGACACGGAAAAGTGCCAGATATTGGACAAGTGCGCACGGCTTTTAATCCTGCCCATCCTCCCTCTAAAAAAAGTGCTCAGGTTACGGAGAGGCTCAGAAACCTTCACCAATGTTCGGCGAGGATTTTAAAAGATCGTCCTCCCCAAGGCACTGGAAACCTAGCACGATCCCCGTGCACTAAGCCTGAAATAGTGCAGTCGTTTTTTTAGCTTTCGTTCTTTATCTTTGAAGACTTGGCGCCTCCTGTAGATGAAGCCGTTCTTCAGTCTTATTCAGTTCGGCTTCCGTCCCGCGAATTAAAATAATTTTTTTTGAAAGCACCAGACGCGCTTTTAAAATTGTTAACAATATAAAGAGTTTGAAGAAAAGTTGAGATCACCAGAAAGACCGACAACAAAGTAAAAGTACATTTTGTATTTGTTTGGAGCCATAAATAGAGCTCATGTTTTCCACCATGCCCAACGTGTCCTGAGATAGTGGTTACCGGACCGGAAGTATTGGGTAGTATAGTGGAGGCAGCAGAGAGAGAGGGGGTGGGTGTGGGGGAAGGCTTTGATACATTGTACGCTCAACTCTCAATGTGCTGACTGCTGGAGAATGTCTAGTGTTCTTGAGGAGCGTTTTTTTAACATCTCACTGAAAATCCAGGATAGGGGACTAAAAGTGTCAGTGGACACCATAGACAGGATAAAGAGATTTCGCAATGTTAAAATAATGTGAGTCATCGCAGATGAAATCAGACTCTTGCCAAAGTAATGAAATCGAAGAAACCGAAATTTATTTCTGTGCCCAATGGGCAATTTTTATCAATTTTTGTTGGCTGAAACTTTTTAAGTCATTAGAAACACTTTTCTGCATGGATGTAACTAAAAAACGTCAATTAAAGGTACACAAGATGTATATAGGTGCCATTTTCAAGATGATTTGACCTCTGACGCGAAGAGACACCCCCCCCCCTTCCCAACCTCATTCAATCACAAATATCTCTTCTGTTTAATATATGTCAGTATTTATTTTCATCAAAAGAAAACAAGTGAACACGCTTCAAGAAGATACCAATAACTCCATATGCCAAAAACTTGACCTGCACCTGATTCCATCAAGTCATGACACACGTGAATTAATTGTCTTCGACCTTACCGAAAACTCTTAAAGTCCGTCCTTCGTTTTCTTTCAACATTTCAAGGAATCATTCAAACCAGGAAGTTCATTTTATAAAGGTATTATAATCA